ATAATCACAAATATTTCCTCGTTCTAGAGTCTCAGATGTGAGCATTTTCTGCTTTTATATCATCTTAACTTGAATATTATTTTGTTTTGAGCTGTTGACGTCACTTTGAATATTTCGCTATGTCTACATTTCATATACATAAAAAAATACAAATTAATCAATAAAAAAACTGTCGCTAACTGTAGTATTAAAAAAATATGGAATAAAAACTATATTCTTACAGTAATGGGTTTTGTTCATCTCAAAATCACCAGGGTGGATATGTGAATATGTGAATTAGTGGTGAATTGGTAAAAGAAGTATTCTAGTTGCAACTAGTGTCTCTCAGCTGCTCACAGGTGATTTAGCAAAACGACACGTCATCTTTGTACTCAGACAAACTATCATCACTTAATCCAACACTCCTTTCACTGTTGCCGGCCTTCGCTCTGACCCTTCACATACATCTGGCGCCATCTGTTGGCTGATCACCAACTGTCAACATTAACAATTCAACAACAACAACAAGCTGTTTACTGTTGATGACAGTGCCGTTGGTTCAACTGGATGATTCAACGGAAGGAGATATTCTGCTCGAGGCTCTTTAATTTCTAAATAAAAACACATATCACCATTCAAACAATCTCCATGTTTAAACCAATAATCTGCATGCACGCTGACCAAAGTCACTCAACAAGAGGTTAGTAAAAAACCATTGTGTTTCCACCAGACAGGGCCAACCAACTGTAACTGCTCCTTTAAGAGCTAACAGTTTGTCTTTTCACATTCTGCATCACAGGAGAGATGCTCATTAAAAGCGCCTCCATTCCTCACTGTTTCATCAAGTGAGACTGCCAAGCTCTTTAACTCAGTGTTCTTGATGTTTGTGCTGTTTGTGTAAAACCCATCTGTTTCCTCGTCTCTCTGTTGGCAGAGGGTCCACCTCATCCGTATGCTTCTCTTTTTGAAGTCATGTCAAAATCGCATTTTTCTGCATCTAAGATATCCAACTTGTCATCAGCACTCAAGCAAGAGTCAAGGAGGGCACTCCTTAAATAGCTCCTCTCTTCCCTTCACATACAATACATGCAGAAACAAGGACAGCAAATGAATTACAGATGTGAGGTATTAGAAAAATGTGTTTGTGGCTCTCTATGTAGATATTTAAGGTAAAGTAAACCAGCTGAAGTCTAAATACGATAAAAAGGCCACAACTTTAATCCCCTTTTAAATAATCTCACTCCAAAAGCACCACTTATTCTCTCCCTGGGCGAGGTTGGGAGAGCAAATTTATTTCAAGGCGAGGAAGATCATTAAACAGAGATCCTGTTCTGGGCAGCTGCAGGAGATGGCGCAGAAAATAATTTCATAGGTTTAAGCAGCAAGAGCCACCAGTGAATAATCAACATCACTGAACGAATCAGTCACACATTCAGCCACAAACACAGCAACACCCACTGTTGCTAAACCGTGTCATGATTTCAGACACATTCATCTATCACAAAGCTATAGTTTGAAGACTGAAAATCACAGTCAGAATAATTATCACTTTAAAAGCATGTCAATGTGTAAAAAAAAGAGAAGGTATAAATAAATATAGCTCACTTCCCTGTCGGAAAGCTGGCAGGTAATTTTCTCCAGCTGCTCTAAGTGTGACAATCCCACAGGGACTGAAATCTAATATTAACAGCAAATCATTATGTGGGAACTGTTCTTCCATGACCTGCCGCTGTACCTGTGTGACTAACTCAATCTAAGTAATTGAGATACGTTAGCGAGAAGAACGCAGTCCTGCTGTGACAGCAGAGGGTCACGCAGAGTGTAGTGGGACTCCAAACACACCTCGGCACCAGAGATGATTTACATGTCTATATGCTTTGACTGACAGGGTCCCCTCTCTTCATGTGATGCTGGTTTCTTTTGGTGCGTGATAAAGTGGCTTTTGATTGACAGCGAAGAAATCGACTTCAATCTGACATCGTATAAAGTTTATGAATACCGGGGGGGTATGTCACCATACATATTTACTGTACTGTAGTCTTTCGTACAGAATAACCAAGTCATGCAGTCAGCTGCATGATCCATGTCAGCATATTACAGTTTAATTGGAGTTTTTTCAGTTGTTTTTACACTACTGGTGTCAGCTAAATTGCTCTTTAAGTAAAAAAAGAAGTGGCTTTCAAAACTAAGCTGTTTTCTGGGGAATCATAAACACATTGTTGCTGCTATTGCAAAACTCCCACTTGACAATGATGTGAAAAAGCTGATTACATTCACTACAGTAGCTAAATTACAGCTTGTATTTGGTTCAGTTATATTCTACAAGGATATATAATGTACTGATACCACTGTTAATGATTACATACTATATATAGACCTTCTTCATGTTGGAACTGATCCCCGTGTGACCAATTAATCAACATAAAAGGTGCTTCCATTGTAGTTCAAAGTATTTCTAATAATTCAATATAATGGCTTGCCTTTCCTGTCCAAGAAATCATTTTTAATTGTCTCATTAGAAGATGCTGTAGCTGTGGGTTGGAGAAAACAACAATAGTTCTTTTTCCGCTCCACTGCCACAGATCTTTGAAGCTTTCCACTTACCTGAGTAAAGCTGCGGGCCCAGACGTCCTTTTTATGTAACCACAGCAACCTGGCTGGCTCTTTGAAACTCCCTGCAAAAAATAGAATATTACCAAGTTGTGCACTTTGAAGGAGGAAGCCTATATCATGCTACAGTCGACAATACAAAACACTGACCTCATTAAAAAGTATTGTCACCAAAGGATTCTGGGCTTGTAGCGGCTCTTTTCAACTGCATGACTAATTGCCGGAGTGAATTTTAATGAGAAACAGTTTTGGCCATGAAATGAATAAGTTATCTTACGAAAGGGGTAAAGTTTGTGTTTGGTACAACATGTACATGAAATACTTAACAGCTACCATCCGACACGGGTCTGTTTACATGCCAAGAAGCAGACCTGTTAACTAAAAAACATGCTTAACCTTGTTTTGTCAGCTTGATACTTTATAACTTTTACTCATTTTTATAATAATTCCTTATTGACTACAGAAAATTACACATCTGTTGTGGTCTCAGAGACTCCAGCTGCAAAAGATGGTTAAATACAGGGGATTTTCATATGGTGTTGACACAGCAGAATCCTTAACGAATCCCCAGTAGGTCTGTTAGGATTTCTGTCATTGGAGTTTTATAACAGGGCGTTTAATTGACCTCAAGCAAACGTCACCATAAAGGGCAAGAAACTGTATGTTTGTATGACATCTTTGGCAAACAAAATGAATATAACTGCATGAAATATTCCCTTTTTAGCGTAATAACAATGCTTAATGGCCATTTCCACATTCATTTTGATGAAATATCACAAAAAAACCCAGCATATTTGGAAGAAGAATAGTTATTATTATTATTATTATTATTATTATTATTATAGTCCACACAAACAGCAGTGGGGTCTATTGGATCCCAAACGACAAGGGAGTAAAGCCAACGTCAGTAACAGATAAAGTCCATTTATTGTTAACTAAATGTAATTCTTTCTATCACTGATAACAGGTTGTCACACCCAGCTGGTAAGTGTGCAGCTAGAGTGAACTACTATTACCGTTGCAGCTATAGCTAAGTGATCATTTTATTCTAACACTGTCAAATGACAATGTGAATGAATTATCACCTGATTTAAATCTCTTCTGGCTTTACAGAAGTTTAAAGTGAATTTCAGCTCAATTTGGCTTTAACTTTACTGTTTTGGTTCACTCATTTCCAGCAGCAGTAGGATGCTATTTAATCGCTAACTGCAGTATTAAAAAAATATGGAATAAAAACTATATTCTTACAGTAATGGGTTTATCTCGTTCATCTCAAAAACACCAGGGTGCATATGTGAATATGTGAATTAGTGGTGAATTGCTAAAAGATAACACCAAGTACAGGCAGTGGTTCCTAACCTGGTGGTCGCCAAAGCTTCATAGGGGGTCGCGAGACCTTCTTGATTTTAAGATGTGCTAATGTAAAACATATATACGCAGCAGGCCTGTATCTCAGCATTTGGTTCAGTTTTGTGAAGAAAAGTAAATTGGCAAAAAAGAAGCCAATAAGTATTTATGATTGTTAGAAATGATTAAAAAAAATACATAATACAGACAGAGAATTGTATAAAACGGAAATAATCTGCTAAAAACTCATACTAATCACTCCTTTTACACAAACTTACTTTGGCATTTACTGAGTTCACTATTCTTTCATTGAACAATTTTGAATATAATATGAAATATCCATAAAATATGTCACTGAAGCAGCAGCCCTCAGTTTAATCAATGATAAAAAAAAAAGGGCATTTAGTAGCTAAAGAACCAGATATTTTACCCCAGGAGGCCCAAAAAAAGTCCAATCACAGATATTGTGATTTATGTGGAAATATTTTTGCATCACAAAAACCATGATGATGTGACATTTTTTGTGCAAGCAAACAAACATGTTTTCTTAAATCTGGAGAGCAATATTTGTAAACCAGGGCACCTCTGCAACTCCACAGTACTTTTATTATAATGCTGTTTACCTTTAACAACACATTACAGCTCATTTGCATATTGCACATGGCCATATTATTGATTATTAGATAATATTTCGACGAATTGTGCAGCCTTAGTGAATAAATGTACTTACATTCATCAGGTGGCCGAATAATAATGTCGCTCCATCATTGCTGGATGTTTAAATAAGCAACTGTTGACCAACATGTTAGCAAAATATCAACTTAAAAAGGCCCAAAGTGGCAAAAAAAAGTAATCTAATCCAGGCATTATCAATCTATATAGCAACTATATTTGTGCTAAATGCCCAAAGAAACAAATATAAGTTTTTAATTTGGGTAAAAACAAGTAATTTGGCCGTTTGAACGCCAAAATACCTGAGTGGGCGTTGTCCGTTTGTGATTGACAGCGCAGACGACCAATGAGAACCTTTCTTTAAAACTACGCACCAAGCCAGCAACTAGGAAGTGAAAACACACACACACACACACACACACACACTACAGGGGGATAGGGAAATGTTTCGGTTGTGGCACAGCTCTCAAACTCAGGTGAGGCTGTTGGTTTCATCCGGTCGGAACATGTCGACTCGGTCCGAGGTTGAAAACAGCGACAACAGGTCGATTCACTCGGGCAGCGTCGGGGAGGTACACCACGTACCGATGGACGTCATCATCAGACCGATTCCTCCGGTACTGGATGAGCTGAAAGTTCAGAGTCTGATGGAGACGATAGTGAAGGTAACTTATTGTTTAAAGCTGTTAAATGTGTGAGTTTTAAGGATGGGAGACTGTGGTATAAAGATACAGTGACATGTCTGACCTACAACACTCA